GCGCCTTGAACACAGGCGGCTCTCCAAGAGGGCGCTTTCACCTTGAAGAGCCAGCGGCCATCGACTACGTTCACCCCAGGCGGGGGAACTGCGTCGACGAAGGTGCCGGTGGATCTCCAAGATGCCATCTCCTGCTCCATGGCAGCTATCCACTGCGAGGCCCAAGGTCCCGAGGTCGCCTCAGCGTAAGTGCGAGGGGTCGGGATGTCGAAAGCGTCTGGGTCACCCTCAGGGACTAGCAGCATGGAACAGAGATGGGGAGCAGCCTCGGACAGGAAAGCAAGCTCGAACTGGCGGTCCTCCAGGACGTCACTGCCGAGGGCAGGAGCACCCCCGACAGACGGAGGACAGGCAGGGTCAGAGACCAGAGCAGTGGCATAGTCAAGGCGGCGGGTAGAGGCGAAGTCAGCGACCGCAGCTACCAGAGCGTCAAGGCACGAGACCGGAACAGACGGGTCGGTAACGAGAGAGGCAAGGACCCGAGGAACAAGAGGACGAGCGGCACGAAGGTAGTCAGACAGAGGGGGGGGTGCAACAACAAGGGAGGACGGAGGCAGCGACGGGAGAAGGGGAGGACGAGACGCGTGGGAACGAAGCAACATAGGGTGGGAGCGCTGCTGTGGCGGCACACCGCCGACACCGGGACCGCAAGCTGCTCCTCGGCTACCACCGGCATACTCCACGCCAGCACCTCCAGATGGAACACCTCCAGGTCCCGAAACCCCTCGAGGATCGGTACCACCTCCAGGGGTACCGGGACTAGCACGCACTCCAACGCCAGCACCCCCAGAGTCAACGAATGGGTGCTGCGACGGCGGCGGCGGCAGCGACAACGACGGCGGCGGCGGCAGCGACAACGACGGCGGCGGCGGCGGAGGTGACAACGGCTGCGACAGGAGGGGCGACAGCGGCGGCAGAGGCGGTGGAGGAGGGGACGCCTGGGGAGGGGCAGCCGGCGAGGACTGCGCTGCAGGACCACCAGAGTCAGAAGACTCCTCAACCGGGACCACCGATGGAAGAGGGGTGACGTGGACACACCAGAGGGGGCAGGACGGGGAGGAGGAGGGGGAGGGGCAGGGACTACTGGGGAAGGAGTGACCAAGAACAGGGGGGGGGTAACCGGGGGACCGCGTTGGGGGAAGCGACGGTAGTAGGAGACGGACTGGTCAAAGGTGACGTCGCGAGAGTGAAAGAAGCGGTGAGACGGCGGATGGTAGAAGTGCCAGTCGGACGCGTCAAGGGGAAAACCGAGGAAGACGCAGGGAAGGGTGCGTGCAGTGAGCTTGTCCGTGTCGAAGGCACGGACGTGAGCAAGGCAGCCCCAGACGTGGAATGCAGACGCGTCACCAGGAGACCCTGTCCAAAGACGAGTCGGCGAAACCTGCGGCTGTTGGGGGTGCGGCCAGAGGTTAAGCTGGTGAGCAGCGTAGCGCACAGCAAACGGCCACAGAAAATGGGGTGCACCGGCATGGATCATGGAGGAGCGAGCCACCTCCATGACCAAACCGATGCGTCGCTCAGCGACCCCATTCTGCTGTGGGGAGTCCGGTAGGGTGAACGTCGCCCTCCGCACGACAAAAGCGACCAAGGACACGTGAGGCAAACTCGCCACCACGGTCGAAGTGAAGGCGCAAGACAGGGAGACCTCGGTGGACACGGGCAGAGACAAGCCAGGGGATGAGAGCGGCAGGCACGTCGGCCTTCCGCTCTAGGGGAAAGACCGAGGTGTAGCGAGTGAAGTTGTCGACAAGCACAAGGAAGTAGCGCTCTCCACACGACCCATGGATGGGGGCGGGGCCCTTGACGTCCATGTGCAGGGTCTGCAGCGGCGCGGCGGTAGGGGGAAACGAGGAGGAGTGTGGAGCACGGCGAAGCCGACCCTCGACGCAAGGCGTGCAAGGTGGGGCTGGGGAGGAGGGAAAAGCGGGGAGAGAACCAGGGAGACCAAGGACGAGACCGTGCTGGGACATGTGATGCAGACGCGGGAGCGCAGGGTAACCTAGGCGGTGGTGCCAAAGGAGATTTGGGTGAGTGAGGGACCGACAGGAGCAGGCAGTAGCAACCTGGATAGACGCAGCCACCTGGGGGAGCGCTCCAGCTGGGGGGGTCACGGTGTCCAGAGTGAACAGGCCGGACACCGGGTCCCGGGGGAACGTGGGCAGGGGGGCACCAGTGGCGGCCTTGGTGCAGACAGCATACCGCTCGTGACCAGGGAACGTAGTGGTGACGCCAAGGTCCTGGAGGCAGCCGACACCAACTAGGTTTCTGGAGAACGAGGGGATATGCAGACCTGTAAGAGAGCCCGAAGAAACCGCCGGACAGGGAAGGGTGGTGGAACTGCGGGCGACTATCGGACCGCTGGAGGGGTCAGCAAGAGAAATGGCAGCAGGAACAGGAAGCGGCGTCAGTGTAGTAGAGTCGCGGAAGAAGCACCGAGAAGCGCCAGAGTCCAAGGTGAAGGAAAGCGAAGCAGTGGCGTCCAGCGACAGGGCAACTGCGGAAGCACCAAGGCTAAACAAAGCAGGGGATCCTACGCCTGACGCAGCGGGGGAGGCTAAGTTAGGCACACCTACACTAGACGACAGTGAGTAATAAGCGGGAAGCGCACTTGAGTCATCAGCATACATCACATGCAGAGCAGAAACAATGGCATCCATGTCCATGTCAAAAATCTGAATCCTACGACTAAGCAAATTGTGCGAGTCCGGAAGGTCTGGCGACGGGCCGAAGCGCTGACGAAACAGGTCGTCCAGGCGACGAAAACAGCGGGGAGGGGTATGACCGAGCTTACCGCAAACGAAGCCGCGGCGAGGACCGGTCTGGAGCTGGTACTGACAACGCACGCCTCCCGAACCACCACTCGGCACACCACCAAGCGCCCAACCACCTCCAGCGCCAGGCCACCCGAGCGGGAGGACACTCGCCTGCCTCGTCTGCGGCGGCTGCTGCGGAGGCTACGACTGCTGCGACTGCTGCAGCTGCTGCTGCTGCGACTGCGGAGGCGGCGGCTCAGCTAGACTGCGCAGGGTCCCCTCGTCCGCTCCAGCACCAAACGACCTGACTCCACCACCACCCCCTTCTGCACCCCCGCCTCCTACGCCGCGCCCAGCCTTGGGGCGGCGGCCCTTCCCCGAACGAAACAGCGCTGCAACAGCAGTCTCAGCCACAGCGATAGAATCGTCGGAGAAGGTACACTGAGCGGGGGCACAACCTTGAAAGATGGGGACCGGCACGGTACCGCTCGCCTGGGCAATGGAGCGGTGGCGGGTCTCAATAACACTCAGTGTGTCTACAAAGTCGGTGAGGGTGAGCTCACCGGGGTGAATGCTAAGGAAGCGGTCGCGGGCGGCGGCAAGGCGGTCAGGGAGGCGGGTGGCAAGCAGGTAGAGGGTAGAGGTAATGGGCGGCTGGTGGGCTCTAAGCTGTGCGTCAGTGCAGGCAGCGCGCCAGGTCTTATCTATCGCGCGCAGGTGGGCAGCTAGGTCAGAGACAGTGGGGAAAGACGCAAGGTCGGGAAAGAGCATCGGGCGAGTGGCCATGGCAATGTGTGCGGAAAGCGGGTGGCCATCCTGCCGATGGCCAGTGAGGTGGCGACGGAGGTCGGCGAGCCACGCCTCGAACTCCAGAGGCTGGCCTTCAGCGTCGAAGCGAAGCTCCGCCGCCATCAGGAGCAGTGTAGGACTGTACAGTGCGGTGCAGCGCGGTGCAGTGCGGTGCAGGGCGGTACAGTGCGGTGCAGGGCGGTACCGTGCAGTGCGGTGCAGGGCGGTGCAGGGATGGGGAACCGTACCAGGGAGGATGCAGGACAGGGGCAGGGACGACGAGCGGGCCGCACACAGCTCGGGGCAGGACGGGCACGGGGGCCAAAAGCAGCGGGCACCAGGTCGACGGGACGGGCGCGGGGCCGGCTGGGACGGGCGCAGGGGCCGAGCAGACGGGCGCGGAGGTCGCAAGGGCGGGCGCGGGGCCGGCTGGGACGGGCGCAAGGCAGGAGCGGCGGGGCTAGGCAGGCGCGGCGGGGCCAGGCAGGCGCGGCAGGGCCAGGCAGGCGCGGCGGGGCCCGGCAGGCGCGGGGGGGCCAGGCAAGCGCGACGGGGCCAGGCAGGCGCGGCGGGGCCAGGCAGGCGCGACGGGGCCAGGCAGGGCGCGACGGGGCTGGGCAGGGCGCGACGGGGCCGGGCAGGCACGGCGGGGCCAGGCAGGCGCGGAGGGGCCAGGCAGACGCGACGGGGCCAGGCAGGGCGCGACGGGTCTAGGCAGGGCGCGACGTGGCCAGGTAGGCGCGACGGGGCCAGGCAGGGCGCGACGGGGCTAAAAGGCGTGACGGGGCTCAGGAGGGGCGCGACGGGGCTCAGAAGGGGCGCGACTGGGCTAGGGGGTCGCGACTGGGCCAGGGGGGCGCGACGGGGCCCAGGAGGGGCGCGACTGGGCTAGGGGGTGCGACGGGGCCCTGGAGGGGCGCGACGGGGCTAGGGGGTCGCGACGGGGCCAGGAGGGCGCGACGGGGCCCAGGAGGGGCGCGACGAGGCACAGGAGGGGCGCGACGGGGCTAGGGGGGCGCGACGGGACCAGGAGGCGCGGCAGGGTCCAGGAGGGGCGCGACGAGGCTAGGAGGCGCGACAGGGCCCAGGGGGAAGCGGCGGGGCCTAGCTAGGGTACGGGCGGAAGCGGTAGGTGGGGGATCCTAACCTACGCGTGATATCATATCAAAGTGAGAACTGAATGATCAGTAGAGAGAGAGTATAGGTGAATATACCTGAGTGTTATACCTTCTAAGAGGTGGCCCTATACAGTCTATGCAAACATAGGAGATACAGTTGTTTGACACCTACATCCTAACTTCGGACAAGAAGGGTACTTATGGCAGTTGTGAGACAGGCTGTCTACTAGTTATGTCCAACTTATATCTTGGTGTCAACAAGCTATTGTTGATAGTTGCCAGCAGCTTGTTTCTGGGTAACAATAGGATTTGCAGGTGGGTAAGAAACCCTGAGAGAATTGCCATGCAATATAATTTCTTCCATCTTCCTAACAGATTTCTCCACCCATCCAGCTTTCTCAGCTGTCTCCTAAAAATTGAGAATGCATGCATTTTCTACTACCCGACAGGTCATCTTTGAAAGGGAAGGTAATATACACATGCTCAAAATTGTGTAGCTGCTAATTAACTTTGGATGCACAATACGCCCGTCTAGTGACGTTTTCAGACTTATTCGGAATATCAACCCCCTACACCAACGGACCCTTGAGGCCCAAGCTGTAGAGGAAATCAAGGAACCCAGTGGCGTTGAGCAAGCCCTTGCCCGTGACGAGCTCAATCACCAGTAGACCCACAAACCCCGCCATGGCTGCGCGGCCGTTCAGCAACTCATTCTGTGGTGAGAATCCGAATCCGCCTGCTGACTCATCCACCACCATCTTCGTCTAAAGTGGGTCAGGCGATGGGGAAATCATGAAAGAGGGGTAAGGGAGAACAAATGAGGTCGAGATTATTTTTTAGGCGCCTCAGAAATCATGAAAGAGGGGTAAGGGGGAACAAATGAGGTCGATATTATTTTTTAGGCACCTCAGAAATCATGTAAGAGGGGTAAGGGGGAACAAATGAGGTCGAGATTAGCTCAGTGGAAGTCAAGAGGCTGATGCTGGACCTACGTGCGTTCGTAAACGCAGTTCCGGCTACAAAAATCACCTCTCGACCACAAGAAGGTCCGATGTGTACATGTGTTAATTTTCTGGTGAGAAAGTGCATAATATCTGGGGAATTAAGTCTTAGACGTGCTATTCAGTGAAGCAAGAAAACTGCTCGTACGACCAATTTTCTGACCTCTTTGACGTTGACGTCGGTGGCTGTTTAGCCGACCTTCGAAGCCTCCCCCATCACCACCTCAGCAGCGCCGGCGGAGCCTCAGCCCATGTTGATGCATACCTGATACTCCTCCAGCTTCACGGGGAACACCTCGAACCTTCTCAGCGGCTCAAAGAAATAGATAGCAAGTCAACTTACCTCGTTAACATTGACGTCCGTTGCTGTTTGGCCGACTTTTGACGCCTCTCCAACCACCACCTCCGCGGCACCGGAGGTCCGACCGCCCATGTTGATGCAGACCTGATAGTCCTCCAGCTTCACGGGGAACACCTCGAGCGACCGCAGCGGCTTGGTCAGCGCGCGGAGGATGGGGTTCTTGGGGTACCACTCCTTAATCTCGCCTGTTTTGAGGTCGAAGGTAGTGTCCGTGGAGGGGCAGATGATGCAACCGTCCTGGAAGATGGGGAGAGAACGAGAAGCACATTGAGTTCAATGACAAAGGGTTCTTGGGGTACCACTCTTTGATGTCGCCGGTTTTCAGGTCGAACGTGGTGTCCGTGGAGGGGCAGATGATACAGCCGTCCTGGGGAATGGAAATGGAAGAGGAGAGGCAGCCGGCTTGGAGAATGGAGGAAAATAGAAGCGAAGAGGTTCGAGCATAATGGGAAGAGGAGTTCGTCGAGAAGGGGAACAAACGAGGCTTCGAGCGCAGAGGAGAGAGTCGCATGCATTCACTGCTGGTTAAACGTATCACGGCGCGTGCTGCAATGTCTTCTGTCGTTTCCTTCGACCTAAGCAGAATTACGACAGAAGCAAAACTAATAACCGACCTAGCTGAACTTAGAGTTCGAAAGCTTCTGAGTCGACTCAAAAACTACGTGGAAGGACAACAAAAGTAGGACGAAGTTGAGCACATGTCTTTACCTGGGTAAACTTGGCGTTCAGAAACCCCTCCGAGTACGCTCCCTCAGCAGGCGACACGTTCTCCACAGCGAAAATCTCGTTCCTGTACCAGAACAAGAGAATCTCCTGGCCGTCCTGCCTGATCAGACGCCTCTCGCCCTTGGGAAGGGCCTCCATCGGGATTACCGGCACCCAGTTTTCAGTGGAGGCTGCTGCAGTTGCTGTGGTTTCCGTGCCGGTGGCAGAGCATACGACCGACCTAGACTGAGACTGTGCGGATGTTGACCGGAGGGAGCAGAGAGAGACGCCACTGCTCACTGACGCTCTGGTGGATGAGAGGCTGGAGGCGGGAGCTCCTGTGAGGAAGGGAGAGGGGGACAGAGCCTGACGAAGAGTGACGGAAGAGGCCATGGCTTAAAACTGGGAGTATTGGAGACAGAGAGGCGCTTGATAGTCCTGACTTCAAGAAAGAAATGCCTACTAAGTGCTTACTTTAATCACTATGCAAAACAGTTAGTATGACACTCATGTTTATATGAATTTACTTTTTATTTCAGGTGGTGAGAGGACCAGTCACAGGTGCAGCAGCGCGACGAGAGGGGGAGATGAAGGCGAAACGTTCATGGGAAGCTGGTGTGGTACGGGCCCTTGGGACGATCCAGGTGGCTGAGGGAATGCCACGTCGAGAATTCCCGCCAAGCAGTCGCTCCTCGAGTTTTGCGTGGATGTCCAGAGTATCAAGTTTTGAACCGGAGTGATTCGATTCGACCACGTCAGATCATATGCCTGATCGACGTGGCTGTAATTTATTGCCCCACGTTTAGGTTCTGCCTAGTCACCCAGACCAGGGGTCATTGGTTGACACCACATTCCGCTATGGAGTCACGTAATACAAATATGTTGCCACTTGCTTTCGTGAGCAAGTACATGGCGTTCTTCTTTACAAGTAAAAACTTTATGAACTGGTATTTTTCTAATATTTGATCGATTTTCCACCCAGCGTGTAAACGCAGCCCTTCCCCGAAGCTCCCGCCGTCTCGCCTTGTCAATGGTCAGGAGTGAGCAGACGAAACTCGTTATGCGTCACAGACCGACCTGCCCATCGCAAAGCGTGTCATTCCCACACAGGAATTCCTGAAGAAGTCCCTCCTGAAATTCTTCCTCAAGCAGAATCTTAAAGCCCGCGGCCCAAATTGCGAGGCGCGACCTTCAAACGCAGTGCGTTTGAAAGTTACGTTTTCGTGGGTGTATTGGGGGGTAACGAGACTCTCGTCACTCAGGGGTGCCTTCCAAGTTCAGTGTGGAAGGTAATTTGGAACACCAGGTGCCGAGCGTTTCTCAACCGTCCAGTTTTTCTATATTTTCATCTGACGGCGCGTAAGCCAAGCACTTCCCCCAGTCAGTCGAAAGGTAATCTCATCCGTCAAACTCTGTATTTGTAAATCTGACGGTTCACGACAAGCGTTGAATTTGCGAAAGTAAACGCCCTCGCGATTTTCCAGCGTATTTCGTACAGCCTGAGGGTCAAACTTCATACGCCGTGCGTTTGAACAATTTGGGCCGCGGGTTTTAACTTTTTCGCATTCCTGTGTAGGAGTACTACGTCCCAGAAGCAGAGGCGTTATCCCAGCCGTGCCGGATACAGTGCAAGGTGATCCCCGTTAGACACAGAGGCGCTATCCTCGCTATTATGAAGACGAAGGCCGTGCTCGATATGATGCAAGGCATGTTGGTACATCTATCCCCTTTTTAAGCAGAGGCGCTATCCGCGCTAGTATGGCGACGAAGGCCGTGCTCGATATACTGCAAGGCATGCTGGTGTCGTTCGGCACGAGCATGGCGACGGCGACGAGGGAGGAGCAGCGCTCGTGGTGGCGGGAAGACGCGGCGTGGAGAGCGGACGACCTGGACTGGCGCGGAGAGGAGAAGGCGGTCTACGAGGCGGAGAGTGACTGCAGACAGCGACTGCGAAAGTGAGCTTTGTTTTCACATGTATTTTGGGTCGACTCAGAATACGTTCCTCAAGAGCATGGAGACGGCGAGCAGCACAAGACCTGGACTGGACAGGTGCGGAGAAGAGAAAGCGGTTTACGTGGCGGAGAGTGACTGAGGCAGCGATTGCGAAAGTCTGTTGGTTTATCCCAAAGAAGCTGTCTTTCTGCCTTCCCCTTGTGCTTCTTTTCCGAGTCACCTCACCTTCCTCGTGCTTGGTTTTCCATAGCTTATTCCGGGCCTCCCCTTGAATTGGTGTCCTCGTGCTTAGCTGGCTCAAGGTCTCCTTCCGTGAGTCTATTCCGTTCTCTCTTCTCCCTATTCCCGTTGCTTGCTCCGCGTGCAGGTGGCATCAGGAGGATATTGACCAGATGAACCTGGAAAACTCAAGGGTATTATGGCTCAGGTAACCTATTTCACGGACACGGGTGGAACTGTAGCTGCGGGTGTATACACCTTTGCAGCTCCTGTCCTTTGTCTTCTCCTCTCATTATTTTCTCTTTTATTGTCTAAGGTTTGTGGAGAAGAATACGGAGCAGCTGTAGGCTACTTCCAATGCACCTCAAAGGGTGCAGGGAATCGAACCCCTCTCCCTTCCATCTCTTGCCGCTTGCCGCGGCCCGGCAGGTTCTTGGAGAAGAATCGGCGCGACGTGGAGGAGAAGACGGAGCAGCTGAAGGCCATCTCCAGCATCTCCGCTCTCTTTGGCCTCTGTGCTACCGTCACGCTGACTCAGCTCAGCCTGGACAAGGAGGGCGAGCCCTCCGCACCCACTGTATGGTGATGCATGCTCTATGTCAAGCGCCCCCTACTGTACTGCAATCTATTTCCATTCTCTCCGCTCTCTTTGGCCTCTGCACTACAGTCACACTCACCCAGCTCAGCCTGGACAACGAGGGCGAGCCCTCCATGCCCACTGTACAGTGATTTATTTCCAGCGCCTCTGCTCTCTTTCGCCTCTGCGCTACAGTCACGCTCACCCAGCTCAACGAGGGCGAGTCCACCGCACCCACTGTACTGTCATGCATGCTCTATGTCCAGCGTCCCCTACTTTACTGCGATCTACATCCAGCATCTCTGCTCTCTTTGGCCTCTGCGCTACTGTCACGCTCACCCAGCTCAACCTGGACAACGAGGGTGAGCCCTCCACACCCACTGTACTGACATGCGCGTTTACCAACTGCTGTCAATAGAATGCAATTGCCATGTGCGAGTCTCCATGCGAATCGTCGGCTGCCTTTTTGGGAGCTTCAGATGGGTGTGCTGATGCATGTGTGTGCGTGTGCATCTGTATGTGCATTTTTCCCCTTTTCTGCAGGGCTTGATTGCTCTATACGCACTCACAACAGCTCTCGTGGTAAGTGAGCTCTCTTTCAATTCTTGGCCTTCGTGGTATGTGCTCCTCTCCCTTTTTCCTCTCGTCTCCATTTCCCTTTCCTTCATATATCCTGGTCTCACTCCTTCTCTCGTGCGCCTCTCCCGTTTTTTCTCCTTCTCTCATCGTCTCCTTTCTGCCTCCTCTCCCGCAGGAGGGCCTGATGGTTGTCTCCATGGTCACCTGCGCGCTGCTTCTAGGAATCATCCTGAAAATCGGCAAGACCTTTGTGAGCGAGCGGGAGGAGCAGGATTTTATGGCAGCGTGCCTTCGATTCTGTGCGTTATATCAACGAGGCGACCGCCCTCCCCAACCTCGCAAATCCTTTGAAGCCTTTTGGGCGGCCAGGTGAGAGGAACAGAAATTCATGGGTCTGTTAGAGAGGCAACTGCCCCCGCCCCTGCAAGTTGCTATTCGGACAAGCAGGTGACTTGGAGAGTAAGAGAGATTGGTAGGATGTGGCCTTCAAATTATCCACGTTTTGTCCTATTTCGTTCCATTTACGCTTGTCAGTTCTGCTGGTTTGAATGCATATTCAGGTGCGAGGGGAGCTGGCAACTTGCCTTCCAATGTTGCTGCTTGGGTAAATTCTATAGTTTTTCTGCTTGCTGTTTTGTGCATTATTGTTGGCATGTCCCTAAGTGAGCGTGGGTTGTTCCATGGGGTACGTCCAGTCTTGATGACTTCTGCTGCTCCCCTTGGCAGGTGTGACCGCTTTTCTTATCAGCATGATTGCTGTAGGGTAAGTCATTTCGCGTGATCATCGACTTTGGCACAAGTGCTTGGGATCCTGGTCGTGTAACTTCGCTGACTTTGTATATCTGGCCCGCTACTTGCTTGCAGGTGGATTGTTTTTATCCCACATGAGATAACTCAAGTGTCTTTTGGCATTGCTGTTGCATTAGCCGTGTGCCTCTGGTATGATAGTGCATTTGCAAAAAAAAATTCTAAGGCTGTCCCCGTTCTATTGTTATATGATATCCGCCGTGTTTTTCACCCCTTCCCATTTCAGGTCATATGTTCAGTGGGCATGGGGAGCATACTGGCGAAGCAGTAGACAAGCTAGTGAAAATGGTGGTGTACAATATTCAAGATCGGCGTCCTTGTCATCTAGAGCATTATTCTTAGCATCTTCACGTAGAAGCCTGCCCGCAGCTAGTGCTCAGCCTCCTGGGGGGTTTGCAGGGTTACCATTTGATTGGCATACTGCTCCTCACCACCTACCAATATAGGAAATCTTGAGTATCTTGTTGGGATATAATCGCACATCTAGGCACGAGCCATTGGGGTCTTGAGTTGCAACCCATTCACGCGAGTTTTTTTTGTCGAGTACAAGGATCCTGACAGCCTGCCAGAACTTCCCGCGCGTTTTCAAACGTTTCCCGCGCCTCGACTGTGGCAACCCCTCCCATTCAGGCTGTGCTGCTTTCCAAGACAGGCGAAGAAGCTGACAGAATTTTTGAAGTTCAGGGAAGGTTGAATTTGGCAGTCAGGGAGAGGAACCATCAGCAGCAGTAAAACCAACAACAGCAGCAGCTCCCTGCTTCAGTGAAGAAGGCTGATTAAAATTTCCGGATTAGAAGCAGAAGCTAGGTAGTGCGACCAGGAAGCTGAATCAGTAGGTCGAGCCAGCATAAGGACGCCTCGAGTAACTGTGTAAAAGCTAAAGTATCGTCTTCAAGTAGCTGATACTGGATGAACTCGTGCGAAAGGAGTTCTTTGAAGGGATCAATAGAGCTCGTAAATAGGCTGAACGGCGTGGCTTAGCGTCCTCTGCTCTCTGTGGTTCATCATTTGACACTGTTGACAACTTGTCCTTCCTGAAGTTCAGCTGTCGTTTACTACACTGAAGTACCCATTTAACACCATGGACGACCAATCGGTCGAAGCTGGCGGAGGTACTCCACGCTCTTTACCTAGAAGAGTCCTCAGCGAAGCAGAGACTAGAGTTCGAGTTGTCGCAAAGGTCCGTCCACGTATTCCGACGGACCAGCCACGGGAGGGATTCCAGGAACGTATGGTGATCGAGCTTGAGGAGGACGGCGTGAAGCTGAAGTTCCCTGAACCCTGGTGAGGAAACATTTATCGTACTTCATTTTTCTTCTTGATTATTTTCGGTGACTGACCTTACTTACTAGCTGCAGGCCTGGAAAGAGCTTCAACCTGGACGCGTTATACGACGAAACCGACAATAGTCAGACCGTGTTCGACAAGGAGATTGAACGACGCCTCCCAGCTCTTATTGAAGGCTACAGCTTGACCGTCATGGTCTATGGTGCTTCAGGCAGCGGCAAGACTTACCTAATGCAGGTATACCGCGACCAGCATCACATGTTCGATCATTATTCAGAAACAAGACGCGGGAAATCCGACTGTAATTCCTTTACAATTGACTAACTCATTCGTCTATTGTGGAGCAGGGTGATGGCGATGACGTACCAGGACTGGTATCTCTCTGTTCTACTTGGATCGCTGCAGTTCAGCTTGAGAGAGAAGGTTACCGAGTATCGTTCTCCTATTTTGAGCTCTATGGCAGTAAGGTTATCGACTTACTCCAGTCCAAGGAGCTTCAGATTTTGGAAGATAGTGACCACCAATTCCAGATCCCGGGGTTACATGAGGTAAGAAGCCATCTTTTTCTTCCTCGAACTAGTAGCAGACGTGCAAATGGTGTCTGAATGTAACCTTTTATTTTCTTTGTTGCAGGAGGAATTCAGCTCGCTGGAATCGTTCCTGGAGGAGTTCGCCGAGGCCAAGGGGAGACGTCACCTTGCAGAGACGGGAGTTAACGCCGTTTCCAGTCGCTCGCATGCGATCCTTCAGTTTAACGTGTGGCTCGACGACAACCCAGGCGTCGTCGGCCGCCTAAAACTCGTGGATTTGGCAGGTACGTCAGCCATGACGGCAACATCGATTTTTTTCTGAACATCCAGCGAGTTGTCTTTTTCATGTTTGCAACATGTGAGGACGGTATATGTGGACGGCTCGCCGTTTGAACGCTGTAAACGTCTTAACGGTTTTACTTACGGTTTTCGGACGCGATCGTCGCACTGCTGCTCTCGTTGCAGGTCGCGAGCAGAACAAGGATACGGGCAACGCGGGCCAGAGGATGACAGAGAGCTGCGACATCAACAAATCGCTCTCAACGCTCAGCCGCGTCATCGAGCGACTGAACGACCCCGCTGCGAAGCACGTTCCTTACCGACAAAGCAACCTCACGAAGGTTCTGCAGGACTCCCTCGGAGGCAGCAGCCGAGGCGTCATGATCGCTTGCCTGGTAAACGCCTCAATCCATTACAGTGCTCGTTTCTGACACTAATGCCTTTTTTAAACATGAATAACTTCCTTTTCTATTCCGTCTCCCCTATAGATTACATCATCAAGACTGTTAAATGTTTTCTACCTCTTTCGTCCACCTGCCAGGCTCCGCATGATGACCAATTGGCCACGGCAGTCTTGGAGGTGGCGGCTCAGTCGCGCCTTATCAAGAATAACGTGGCCAAAAGCAAGCCGCCTGCCACCCCGAAGCAGACCCTAGCGGACAGGCGCTCTCAGCTCGCTGCCTTCAAGGCGAAGAAGGCGGCGAGCAGAGCAATCGTCCAGAGCAATGCTGCTGGGTGAGTTGGCGGTTGAGCAAGTTGGTAACATGCTGATGCTGACTTCTACATGCTGACATGTCACGTGAAGCTCAGCATATTGATATTCCAACAAAGGTTCCTAGCTTGATCTTGATGTCTTACAAGCTGTTCTGTGTGAGTTCAGGCCTGCACCTTTCAGCGACAGTGGACCCTCCAGTTCTCGGAGGAGCTATCTCCCTTACCCAGCACGAGTTCCAAGAGAGGTATACCGCGATAAATGCTGAAATTGTGTTAGTGCGCTGTGACCTGGATCTCGAAACTGATGTGCTGTGATCTGTTCCATCTCATGCTTGCAGCACCAGCTTGCTGGGGAGCTGCATCGCATCCGCGGTCCCACTCAGTTCAAGCGCAGCCCCATCAGGACGGCGTCTGCTGCTGGAAAGGCATCAGCTTCGGGTGTGAGCTCTACGCCCAGTCTCATCCCCTGGCCCCGAACGTCGCTGCTCACCCGCCGTCCTGACGATTTCGTGAGAGGAGCTGCAGACGCGTTGGAGAGGGATAGAGCAGGAGGAGAAACGGGTTTTGCTGCAGCAGCAGCGGTGGCAGTGGCAGAGGCAGCGTCCGCGTCCGCGTCAGCTTCAGCTTCAGCCGTTGCCGCTTCCACGAAGAGGCTGGGCATCGCCGACAAGATGACAGCTAGTATGGCCGCGAAAATGGCCTCTGCTGCTCAGGCTCGCCAGGCCCTGGCTCTACGACGCGTCATGGCGAAGCAGTCGCCCAGGAAGATCGCCAGGGAGAGGAGGACAAACCTGTCTGCTCAAAGAGCCGGATCTGCCTCCCAAGCGCAACCCGCTGGGAAGGCCGCGGGGAAGCCTCAGCGCCAGGGGTCCTTGGTGCCGTCTGCTGCAGTGGATGCTGCTGTCCAGCCTGCTGCGGATCCCGCTGAGGTGCTTCAGCGCCAGCGGTCGTGTGCTGGAGTGGCTGCTGCTGTGTCTGCTGCAGCAGCAGCGACAGCCACGGCAGCAGCAGCAGCTACGGCCGCGGGAAGCCCACTTGCGCTTGATGTGCAGCACGCGCATAGCATTCTCATGGACTCCCTGAGGCAGCCACTGGGAGGCGGAGGGAAAGTGCCAGAGATGGGGGGGACGCCAGGAGGGGCAGAAGCACCAGAGGAGGGAGGCTTTGGTGGTCAATGTGACGGAATGGGGGGTAGTAAGGAGGGGTTGATGGAGGACGGGGAAGCATTCTCGTTTGCAACCCCAGGGGGGATGAGTGATGGTGAAGGGATGGGAGGGAGTGACGGTGAGGCGGGGGCTGAGGACGAGGGCAAGAGTGAGGGATGTGGAAGTGGGCAAGTTGGGCAGCCGAGTGCGGACCCCTTGGTGCGGAAGCTACTGATGGGGGTCTACGGGGACGATGCTGCAGCTGATGTTGCTGCTGCTGCTGCTGCTGCTGCTGCTGCTGCTGCTGCTGATGCTGCTCCTACTGGTCCTGCTGTTCCTTCCTTTGAGATTCCTGGAAAGTCGAGCGAGAATGTGTTGCCGCCGAGGGAGCTAATGGAAAGCTACAGGGACAACGCCTCTGCTGCTGCTTCGGACACGTTTGAAGTCTCCACGTGCGACGGCAGCTCCACTGGCAGCTCGGCTGGCAGCAGCGCGGCTTCACCTGAGGAGGAGAGCTCTGCGGACCATGACAGCGCTGAGAGCAAGCTGGGGGCGGGGCAGATGGAGGAAGACAGGGTGCTCGAGCAGGAGGAGGACCAGCAGGAGGAGGAGGAGGAGGAACAGGAGTACCATGCTGTTGCTGGCCATGATGGGGAGGAGCACTGGGAGAGTGACCAGGGACTAGAGCGGGTTATGGGGCTCTCGGGGTCAGAGAAGGAAGGCGAAGTAGGCCTTGCGGATGCAGGCAGTATCGAGGTGGGTGAGGAGGAGGTGGAGGGTGAGGAGGAGGTGGAGGGTGAGGAGGAAGTGGAGGGTGAGGAGAAAGTGGAGGGTGAGGAGGAAGTGGAGGGTGAGGAGGAGGTGGAGGGTGGGGAGGAGGTGGAGGGTGGGGAGGAGGTGGAGGGTGAGGAGGAGGTGGAGGGTCGGGAGGAGGTGGAGGGTGAGGAGGAGGTGGAGGGTGGGGAGGAGGTGGAGGGTGGTGATGGAATGGAGGGTGGCGAGCAAATGGCGGGTGGGGAGGAAGCAAGCGACTGGTATGTAGTCGATGTGGTATCGGGAGAGGGGGAGGTTGAGGCTGAAGAGAAAGCACGCGATTGGCTTGCAAGTGAGCCCATGTTGAATGAGAAGGCAGTGTATGCGGAAGCTACACCGCACTCAGGGGTAGCTGCTCCGATTCCTGAAGATGTGTGTGGGGAGGACGTTGGTGAAGACTGTTTAGCAGAGGAGGCAGAGGCTGGCGAGGGAGCAGGCGAGAGGGCTGCTGTGGAGCCCGTGCTGGATGAGGAGGCGACGCATGTGGCTGGTGTGGCCGTGTGGGGTGAGAAGAGCGTGCATGCGGAAGCTGCAAGCCACTCTGGCGTAGCAGACAACGCTGCTGAAGCATCAGAGCTCGACCACATTGCGAGCGTGTGGGCGATGATTGGGGAGGAAGAGATGGCCGAGGGTGATGGCTATGGGGCTGTCCCATGCTCTCTGGTCCCAGTGGTAGGGGAGAGCATACCAGAGGAGTGCGAGGAGGAGGAGGGAGAGGGAGAGCTGGAGGAGATTGCGCAGGAGCAGCGAGAGGGAGGGGAAGACCAGGGGCAGAATGGACAAGAGGAGGTTGGCGGGCCATTGCTGGTGCAGCCACTGACAGTGCTTCCGGAGGTGACACCCCCAAGGCAGCCCTTCGGCGCTGTGTCTGGCAACCAACTGTCACACCGGCCTTCTTATCGCAATGCCATGGTGGGTGTGTTCGACTTCAAGCCTCTGACACCCAATGAGAGATCTCCTGCTCCGATTCATGATTGAAAGGTGCTGAAGTATTGTTCTTGTTCGTTCCGCTGTGGCAGGTGTCATGTGAAGACCTGGATTCCTCCCTCGAGGGTGCAATGAAGGGCCTCAGCATCGTGGACCCCACCACCCCTGCCTGTGCCCGGGACTTTGGCACTCAGTTCATGGTGAGCATCCTCTGGATCCTTTGTACTGCAGGCCTGCGTGTACACCCATTTTATGCATGATTTTCAAATCTTGATTACGCTTGAGAGGCTTACCCACTGGGAGTTACTCTCAATTGTGGTGAATGTTTCAGGCTGCTGCAGAGGCGGAGCTCGTTCAGAAGTTCAACACTGCAACCAAGTAAGCATTCTGGAAGCAACTTTGACAGTACCACTGGATATCGTTTCCTTCCATGCTTATACAAATTTTTGGATCTCTTGGTATCTTCAACCTCTAAATAATTGCTGCTGTGTTCCCCCCCCTCCCTGCACACTCTTCCGATTTGTCTTCTCCCAAAACCTGCTGGTCCGTTGGATGCTTGTTCGTTGCAGGGAGGAGCTGATGCAGATGAAGGTGAGCAGTGCAACTCGTTTCTGAAATTTTAGGAACAAGGCTGCAGTTTTTGGGGGCTATGCATCACATTCCGCCACTTTTAATGCATTTCTGTCGTTTTGTCTGATGAAACGTTCTTCTTTATTTCAGGGCATTGGTCATGCCTATGCGACAAGGATATGTGCCTTCCGGGAGACTCCGAATGTGGGAGCCACGCCTTTTCGTGCAGTGAGTACCGCTTTTGCATTCACTGCCATGGGTTGAAACTGCTTTTGGTTCTGCCCTGCTTCCATGCTTCTTTTGAAGCAGCAGCATCAAGCCACATTCCACGCAGTTGCCAGCATGGATTCTGAAGTATGTTGTGGGAGTTCCTGTGTGTGTTTCTTCCCATGCACCTTATGTGTGGCAGTTCACAGACCTGGCCAAGGCTGGGATTAACCACAAAAAGGTAAGCTCTCGCAGATCAAACATTTTCTACTTTTGAGTCTCGAAAATGCACCGCAAGGGCACTGAGTGCCTGTTGCATGCAAGTGCCTTCCACCAGTGGTTCTGCAGCAGTGCCTCATATCAGACCCTGCGTTGTCCACAGGTGCACCGCATTCGCCAAGATAACATACAGAAGATTCTGCAGTTTTAGCTTGTCAACCATGACCAAGCATTCGTGGCCTATCACTTGTCCGGCCACATGCTCCTGAGTGCTTTATCGTTTCTGTGAGGACTGGTCAATGACGCAATGACCACTTGCATGTGTAGGGTACATATCACGTATACTTTGTTGCTTGTAGGAAGATGTATGTGTCACAACGGTACCGGGTCTTGAAGTGTCGTCGTGGCAAGTTGAAAGAATGCCATCAACACAACACTAGAATTATAAGCTTCCCTCCATTGCCTTGCCATCCCAACTTCTAAGTCGAGAACCTTCTGACACACAGTACACTTTTCCTGTTGCACATGGTTCCAATATTGTTTATAGAAGCAGAGTGAAGCTATCCTGATGTAAGTTCAACTAAGAAACAAACGGTGGAGTGTAGAGATATTATCAGAACTATTTATGGTATCTAGGAACAGGTGTAGTTTCCATCTGAACGCGAGTGTGCGGTACAACTTGTGAAGGCCACACCCAGACCACGCCTAATCGGTTTCCTGAACACGTGCAGAACTGCTGACGGCGAGCAGCAGCCCCCAGACGTACCGTCTTACCGTTTCATCTCCACGACCTGTGTCACTTCTGTACGATTGATCACACTTTGTCCATGCCTGTTCCATGCCCGATCCACGAACCCATGGCCATCTGTCGCAGAATTCCCTCGCGTTCCTCCTTGCCTTATCCCTTACATCCCTCCACCTGTGAAGTGAGAACTCTTCAGAGTTGAATCTGTAACAGTCGCATTTGCGTCCAGGAGTGTCCTTCGCATCGCACTGTTTGAGTGCCTAGGCTGCTGGTTCTCACGGCCGATGACTAGTCATGGTGAGGCGATTGCTGCGTGTGCTCGGAGCTTCAGCTGCACACAGCTTCCGAATGGTGACCACCCCATACAGTATTTCTAGAGAGGGCTGTTTGATTCATGGAAGCGAGGGCTTGTGTGGCTGCTAACCGTGTTGTGACGTGCTTGGCTTGGCTCTGCTGATAAAGGCTGGAGCCTGTCACGGGTTTTATCAAGCCTGTCTCGTGTCTCCCTGAACTCGACTTTCCGCTTCACGGTTTCTGCATCCCGTCACCCTGACCGTCTCGGAGTTGCCCTTGCGAAACCCTTATCGGTTTTTTGTTTTGATAGGCACTCCACGCAGACGACTGGGCTGGGACGTTTTACAGCATCACAGATCAGAATCAGCTATCAATCAGGGTTGGAAAAAACCAGTCTTCTCGCAAACCACTGCATACCCTCTCTATCGACATGGCTGCCTGGAAGAGATACCTGATCACGTTGCTGCTGGTGGCGTTGTTCGCAACAGTCGCATTTGCGTCCGAGGATGTGACGGGAGAGTCAAGTTCGGTAAGCAGTTTTACATTGCCACAAAGCGAGTGATTTTTTCAGTTTCTTCTGACCAATACTATGTACTTCGGCCATTTTCAGGCATGCCTCTTTTCATTCTAACATTGCATTCAACGCTATCCTGCCGCTTTTTATCGTTTCAGGGATCGACGGACTCGACAAAAACCCTGAATGCAAACAAGGCCGGAGCCATTTTCGTTTTCTTCGGATCCAGCTTTCTTGGCGTATGGCTTCCTTTCTTCATTCCGATTCACCAAAACGTCCTCAAGTTTGGCATTCTCTTCTCAACCGGTCTCTTCATCGGCATGTCTCTGCTTTACCTAGCAGTCGAGACATTTGAGGAGTTTGAGGAGCTTGCCGGAAAAGGTATTCACTCCTCAACATCTACTCCTTACGTCCAATGTACCAGTCTGGAGAATCTTATTGCCAACCACACTCTGTGTGTTTTTCAGATTATCCTTACGGAATGCTGGTCATTGTGATGGGTATCTACCTCACCTGGCTCTGCGATCTGATTGTCAAGACGATCTGGCGCAAGCGATCCGGATCCTTCGAAGAAAAGGTGCGAAACCGTATATCAAGAACGCAGAAAGCTGAGATTGGTCACCCTGGACGAACTAGTCTAAGAGTTGGCGTGGAAAACAGGCACTGATGTTGTCCCGTGTCTCTCTGCTATCATTCACAGGAAGAGGAATTGGGCCCCACAGTCGCTGGCGCTATGGGAGCGGGCCAGACCAAGGTGGTTGATGCAGACACCGAGAACCAGAAGCAAGTTGACGTGCAAGCGCTGTCTATCGTCGATGTCATCGTGGTGCTCTTCGCTCTCTGCTTCCACGCGTTCTTCGAAGGCATGGCTGTGGGCCTGGCGTCGTCGGTTCAGCGAGTGTGGAGCATGACTGCTCAGATCAGCGTGAACGAGGTAACTGCATCAATTTATCAAACGCTTGGTTTCTCTCTCTTGGTTTCCCGACTGCTTTATCTCTTTCTATCTCATGCTGGCTCACCTGACTGGAATTTCTGGCATGTTTTGTCCACGTTTCTGCAGTTTTTCGAGGGCCTTGCTCTTGGCGTCACTCTCCGCGTTCAAGACACGTCTCGCTCCTTGCTCAACCATTTCCTCTTCGCCCTTGGAGCGTCGGTCGTGGCTCCTACAGGAATCGCCATTGGCCTCGCAATCGACTCGGGAAGCGGCAAGGAGGCTCGCAACTGGGTGAAGGCCTTTGGAAACGGCATGGCGGCTGGAGTGTTTATATTTATTGCACTGGGCCATTTGCTGGCCAAGGGCATGAAGCCGGGATCCAATGATCGGTGGTGGATGGCGTTTATCAAGTGGTTTGTTGCAGGGCTTGGTCTGATGACCAATGCCCTTCTCCAGCTGTGGGGAGAGAGCTGAAAGGACAGTTCTGTTGGTTCCCTAGGTGATCTTACAGTTTTGCACTAGTCATTGTATAAAATAAGTCAATGATGCATTCAAGCATTATTGAGTACATGTGTAGACTATGATCCTTGAAGAAACGTGCAACGCATTTACCCAAGAGACTATCTGCAATACAACCAGGCCTCTCAATAGCCGGGTGAAACACCCTGATTGCCCTGATTTTTCCGGGTATTTTTATATGTCATCTTAAAAATCCGACCTAGATGTTTTTCAACTCTGATTCAGAAAGTGTGAGAGATTGTTTACCCGTACAGCAACCGGGTTCCGGAGCCGTGTACACTGATCGGTCAGGGTGACGTTAAATTTACCCTGATACAGAAACCTTCAAGGACCAGACTCGTGGCGGATTTCGAGCGCTGGATTAGATGCATGCCCCCCGCCACAAGTATTTTTGTGCTGGCTTTCCCGCCCACTGGCACATGCGCTGTGGCAGACTCCATCTCAGACCACACCTCGTTGGCCTTGCGGTGGGACCTCATTGGTCGGTTTGGCAGCTTTGGTGCTGCGCTGCCGTGGTCCCACGAACAACGCAGCGAGAAACCTCAGCAGGCAGCAGCATGCGATGCGACTACAGACCATTGAAACTGCTTACGTGCATGCCGCGTGCCCCCCTCTCTTTCTAAGCCCATCACCTGCGTTCTGGAAAGACCCACCTGCTTCATCCCTTTCTTGCTCAAGCAGGTTCTCTCAGTATTCCTCACATATCTGTTTCTCACCAATCTTATTCCCGTCGTCTATCCTCTCACCATGGACAGCGACGACAATACGGACCAGGCAGAGCCTCCTCCTAGAAATGGCTTGAGTGTTCTGGGGGTTTTCCCTTTGTTTCCACCTACTATTCCCAACATGCAGCCTACTAGTCCCCCCCGCCCCTCTCGCCTCTCTACTCCTCGTCACCAGAAGTATCCCTTTGAGCCCGTGTCACCTCTCTGCTCGTCGCACGATGACATGCCCGACCTCGATGTGGAGCATGTCGAGGGCACGTCCGAGCCCGCTGCCAGCTCGCGGGAGTCACCCGTCGACGCATCAACGAAGCGGAAAGCGTCCGCTCACTGGACGCAGCGTCCTCTGCCCTGGGCACCGCCACCAAAGAAGCCTGCCCCCGCGCCAACTCCACCCCCTCCAACTCCTAGCTCAGGGTTGAAACCCTCGTCCCCTGCTGATGCTGAGTACGCTATAATCAAGCGTCGTTTTGTCGACGACTGGTCTCGCCGATTTCCTTGGCTGCGATTGACACAGATGAAAAATGGTCGTCCAACGTTGAAGTGTGCTGTGTGCTTGCAGTTTGGCGACGCGTTTAGCAACACCAACTATGGGAAGAAGGGCGAGGGTGCACGCGACCTACAGGTGGGAAGCATCCGCATCCATGTCGGCACGCGGGCGCACAAAAATGCACTAAAAGCCAAGGAGGAGCGGGAGAGAGAGAAGGAGCAGCAGCGCACGCTTGACAGGTGGCGCACGAGCGACTCCTCGACAAAGCATCTCATACGGTGCTTCCACATTGCCCTCTTCGTCTGTAAGGCTGATGCTCCCATCGCCATGTACGTCGCCCTATGCTACTTCCTTGCGTCGGAAGGTTTGCCTGACCTGCCGCAGGGAGGGGCGTACGGGACGTACTACACCGAGTAAGTCTCTCAGCTCTTTAAATTTCCTGCACCATGTTTGTTTGCACATGACACGATCCGATGTTTGTTTTGTTGTAACGCTATTCTAACTTCCGTCGCTTATGTGCATTATGCTCCCGCACTACAGGTACGGCTTCAAACAGGGAACTAAGGCCATATCGAACTACCTGAGAGACGAGCAGCTTCAGCACCTTCTCTCTTCCCCCTACGTCGGCATTGCGATTGATGAGAGCACGGATCGCGTCCACGGCAAACACATGATTCTGTATGCCACCTTCTTCCGCGGCAGTCACGTCGTTACCGAGTTCGTCGCACTGCTGTCGGTGGAGAGGACCGATGCCGCGTCGCTGACCGCCGTCCTGCCGCAGTTTCTCTCGTCGATCGGCCTCGACCTGCAGAGGATTGTTGGCATGTCGACCGATGGGGCTTCTGTGATGACGGGCGCCACATCCGGGGTCGTCACCAGGCTGAAAAGCCGCGTCCTACATCTCGTCGCGACTCATTGCATCGCGCATAGGTTCGTTGGGTCCCTAACTTGATATGTGTGTCTCAACAATCGCCTAACATGTTTCCTTGGGCCTTGCATCCCCCCCTCCCCCCTCCCCCCCTCCCTTACCACCCGTTTCAGAGAGGCCTTGGCTACTAAGGACGCTGCGGCTGCCGTTACAGAACTCAACGTCATCGATATCCTCATCCGTGCTTTCGCCGACCTCGTCGGGCGGTCGAACATCCAGCATAGCAGCTTTAAGAACTTTCAGCTAGTCTACTGCAACACCAACCTCGAGGCGCAAGGCATCTATGCCATTCGCTGGTTGTCCCGCGGGGAAGCAGTGGTGCGCTTCGTCGAGGTCCTCCCCGCTGCCGTGGTTCTGCTGCGAGGTCATCCTGGCGGGCTGTATGAGGTAGTTACGTCGTTCAAAGTACAGTACATGCTATACTTCCTGGCGGACATCCTTGAAGAACTCAACCACCTCAACACCCGATTCCAGCAGCGACAGGTATTGGGCGTTTTTCCCTGTTGGCCTCCCAACTGCTTTTCAATCGCTGAATGCAACGTGCATGAGTCTTTCATGCAAAGCTTGGGTCAAAGCAGCTCTGCGTGACAGTCTATTTGCGTCTTCTTTTTACAATTCCTTCGTTCTGCTCATGCCAACTCGCAGATTGACATGACCCCACTCGCAGGTTGACATGACGGTCGTTTCGTCTCTTGTGGACAACACCGGCAACCGCATTACCGATCGATACATCAAGTGCGGAGGGGGAGTGTACTTCGGTAACGGCGGCAGCGTCAGGCTCGGGGAGTTCCTCCAGGCGCATGGGTCGCCCAACAACAGGCGGGTGCGCGTCCAAGGTGTGGACAACGAGGGCAACGCGCAGTCGTTCGAGTACGTGCTGCACGAGCGCATGGTGGACGGGCACACCTCCGAGAGCGACCTCGATTCATGCGCTGTCGTCTGCCGGAAGTTTGCGGTTGAGCTCGTGGGGAGTGTACGTGGCCGATTGAGAAGTCTTAGTGACATGGAGGGGTGCAAGCTCTACAAGGCGAAGACGTACCCGTTGGACGACGAGATGCGCCTGGCGCGGTGCAAGCAGTGGTTGAAGCAGAACCACGGCCTCTTTGGAGGCAAGCTTCCTGGTAAGAGAAGTCATGGTAACTCTGCTTATACTCCATGTTTGCAGGTTCATACATACATACATACGCTATTGTTGCATGCTCCCCAAACCATTGTTCACCAACCCTTTTACGTGCTTCCCTCCCGCTGTGATCCCTTGTCCAGGCTTTGACTACAACAAAGCCGTCCAAGAGCTGTGGGTCTTCACTGCGGCGATGATGTCGCAGTACAAGGACGACGGATTCCACCAGGGGCTCGCCTTGACGCTGGACAACAACGAGTGGCAGAGATCGTACCCCAACATCCTCCGCCTCTGGCAGGCACTCGCCGTCCTTCCCCTCAGCACGGTTGAGTACGAGCGGGGGTTCTCGAAGCAAAGCCTCATCAAGAGTTGGGAGCGTGGGTGCCTTGGAGATGACACCCTGGGGGACCTGATGCGGTGCTCCCTCCTGCAATACAACATCGAATGGTTCGATGTGGTTGCTGTCTTCCGCGGTGAGAAGCCACGCCGTCCCCTTCGAGATCTGAGCTCGGCCAACCCCACCTCTGTTGAAGATGGAGGGGCCTCTACCAGTGAGCCCACTCCATTGGTGGAGCCGAGAGGATGACTGACTCTGTAGGCTTTGGGGTATGCGCATAGTAGAGAGATGAGTAGAGTAGAGTAGGTGTGGTGTTGGTGGTGGTGGTGCATAGCAGTAGCAGTGGCCTTTGTGGGCCGTACCATAGGCTTTGTATGTAGGTAGGGACAAGTCTCACAGGATGGGCATGTGCTGATTCCTAACGATTCATGGAGTGCGACTGTGCGATGGCAATTTTTAGTTAAAGGAAATCGGGTGTTTTGAAATGTACTCTGAGAGTGCAGTCTAAGAATTTTTTTACCCTGCTATTTCAGACTTTGGATTTTTTTTCACCCTAGCATGCAGGGTAAAATGTCTCAAGCACTCTGATTCGTAAGAGTGGGCCAAAACCAATTTAGAGGCCTGAATACAACCTCACCCAACATGAGAATGTTTTTGTAATAAAAAATTTACAGATTGTGATCAGTGCCTATTTTTCACGAGTAAATTACTCCGATTCTCTGATTTTCAGAATTGATTTTGTGTACCACCCTTGCGCCTCTGGGTAAAATTTTGAGATTATACGTTTTTTCTGATAAGCCAGGGTTTTCTTTTGTACCACCCTAAGGGGTTTACTGTAAAGGGGATACCCCGGGATTTTCTTATACCCCCCTGTCCATACTGTCAAACATCTGTATTTGTCATGTTTGTATAGACTGTATAGGGTTACCTCTTAGAGGGTACAACACTTAGGTATATTTGTGTGTACTCTCACTTTACCATCATTAAAAAATTCCAATTCTGATATGGTATCACGCGTAGGTAGGATCCCCCCCACCTACCGCTTCCGCTCATGCCCCCTAGCGCCCCTCCTGGGCCCCGTCGCGCTCCTCCCAGGCCCCGTAGCGCCCTGTCGCGCCCCTCCTGGGCCCCGTAGCGCCCCTCCTGGGCCTCGTCGCGCCCCTCCTGGGCTTCGTAGCGCCCCTCCTGGACCCTGTAACGCTCCTCCCAGGCCCCGTCGCGCCCCTCCCAGGCCCCGTCGCGCTCCTCCCAGGCCCCCTAGCGCCCCTCCTGGGCCCCGTCGCGCTCCTCCCAGGCCTCGTAGCGCCCCGTCGCGCCCCTCCTAGGCCCCGTAGCGCCCCTCCTGGGCCTCGTCGCGCCCCTCCTGGGCTTCGTAGCGCCCCTCCTGGGCCCTGTAACGCCCCTCCCAGGCCCCGTCGCGCCCCTCCCAAGCCCCGTAGCGCCCTGTCGCGCCCCTCCTGGGCCCCGTAGCGCCCCTCCTGGGCCTCGTCGCGCCCCTCCTGGGCTTTGTAGCGCCCCTCCTGGGCCCTGTAACGCCCCTCCCAGGCCCCGTCGCGCCCCTCCCAGGCCCCGTCGCGCTCCTCCCAGGCCCCCTAGCGCCCCTCCTGGGCCTCGTCGCGCTCCTCCCAGGCCCCGTAGCGCCCCTCCTGGGCTCTGTCGCGCCCCTCCCGGGCCCCGTCGCGCCCTCCCTGGGCCCTGTAGCGCCCCTCCTGGGCCCCGTCGCACCCTGCTCGACCCCGTTGCAGCCGCCCGGCCCCGTCGCGCCCGCCCGGCGCCGTCGCAGCCGCCCGGCCCCGTCGCGCCCGCCCGGCGCCGTCGCAGCCGCCCGGCCCCGTCGCGCCCGCCCGGCGCCGTCGCAGCCGCCCGGCCCCGTCGCGCCCGCCCGGCCCCGTCGCAGCCGCCTGGCCCCGTCGCCCTTCCCTGGCCCCGTCGCAGCCGTCCGGCCCCGTCGCCCCCGCCCGGCCCCGTCCCACCCTGCCCGGCCCCGTCGCAGCCGCCTGGCCCCGTCGCACCCGCCCGGCCGCCGTCCCGCTCGCCCGGCCCCGTCGCACCGGCCCGGCCCTGCCGCACTCGCCCGGCCCCGTCGCCCCAGCCCGGCCCCGTCGCGCCCGCTCGGCCCCGTCGCCCCGTCCCGGCCCTGTCGCACCAGCCCGGCCCCGTCGCGCCCGCCCGGCCCTGTCGGGCCAGCCCGGCCCCGTCCTCCTCACTGGTACGGTTCCCCCCCACCCCGCCCCAGCTCCGTGCCGCCCCGCACCACACTGTACTGCCTGGCACCGCACTACACCGCACTACACTGCACTGCACCGCACTGCACTGCACTGCACCGCACTTCACTGCCCTGCACTGCACTGGACTGTTCCTGATGGCGGCGGAGCTTCGCTTCGACGCTGAAGGTCAGCCCCTAGAGTTCGAGGCGTGGCTTGCCGACCTCCGCCGTCAACTCACTGGCCAGCGGCAGGATGGTGAACCGCTTTCCGCACACCTTGACGGTACGCTCCCCTGCCCAGACCCCCCTGCTATTCTGCCCGCTGACTCCACACCCACTGAGCGCGAGTCCACTGCTGCCACTGCTCGTGCGCGCTCTGTCTGACATGGATGCCATTGTTTGTGCTCTGCATGTGATGTATGCTGATGACTCTAGTGTGCTTCCCGCTTATTACTCACTGTTGCCTAGTGTAGGTGTGCCTAGCTTAGCCTCCCCTGCTACGTCAGGCATAGGATCCCCTGCTTTGTGTAGTCTTGGTGCTTCCGCCGTCGTTCCGTCGCCAGACCCCTCGGCTTCGCTTTCCTTCACCTTGGACTCTGGCGCCTCTCGGTGTTTCTTCCGCGACTCCACCACCCTGACGCCGCTTCCTGTTCCTGCTGTCGTTTCTCTTGCTGACCCCTCCGGCACTCCGGTAGTCGCCCGCAGTTCCACCACCCTTCCCTGTCCGGCGGTTCCTTCGGGTTCTCTTACAGGTCTGCATATCCCCTCGTTCTCCAGGAACCTAGTTGGTGTCGGCTGCCTCCAGGACCTTGGCGTCACCACTACGTTCCCTGGTCACGAGCGGTATGCTGTCTGTACCGAGGCCGCCACTGGTGCCCCCCTGTCCACGTTCCCCCGGGACCCGGTGTCCGGCCTGTTCACTCTGGACACCGTGACCCCCCCGGCTGGAGCGCCCCCTCAGGTGGCTGCGTCTACCCAGGTTGCTGCTGCCTGCTCCTGTCGCTCCCTCACTCACCCGACCCTCCTGTGGCACCACCGCCTAGGTCACCCTGCGCTCCCGCGTCTGCGTCACATGTCTCAGCACGGTCTCGTCCTTGGTCTCCCAGGTTCGCTCCCCGCGTTTCCCTCCTCTCCAGCCCCACCTTGCACGCCTTGTGTCGAGGGTCGGCTTCGCCATGCCCCTCACTCCTCCTCGTTTCCCCCTACCGCCGCGCCGCTGCAGACCCTGCACCTGGACGTCTGGGGCCCCGCCCCCGTCCATGGGCCGCGTCGAGAGCGCTACTTCTTTGTGCTTGTTGACGACTTCACTCGCTACACCACAGTCTTTCCCCTGGAGCGCAAGGCCGATGTGCCTAGCGCTCTCATCCCTTGGCTTGTCTCTGCGTGTGTCCATCGCGGTCTCCCTGTCTTGCGTCTTCACTCAAACCGTGGTGGCGAGTTTGCCTCCGGTGTCCTTGGTCGCTTTTGTCGTGCGGAGGGCATCACCCAGACGTTCACCCTACCGGACTCCCCACAGCAGAATGGGGTCGCTGAGCGACGCATCGGTTTGGTCATGGAGGTCGCTCGCACCTCCATGATCCATGCCGGTGCACCCCATTTTCTGTGGCCGTTCGCTGTGCGCTACGCTTTTCACCAGCTTAACCTCTGGCCGCACCCTCAGCAGCCGCAGGTTTCGCCGACCCGTCTTTGGACTGGGTCCCCTGGTGACGCGTCTGCGTTCCACGTCTGGGGCTGCCTTGCTCACGTCCGTGCCTCCGGCACGGACAAGCTCACTGCCCGCACCCTTCCCTGCGTCTTCCTCGGTTTTCCCCTTGACGCGTCCGACTGGCACTTTTACCACCCGCCGTCTCACCGCTTCTTTCACTCTCGTGACGTCACCTTTGACGAGTCTGTCTCCTACTACCGCCGCTTTCCCCACCGTGGTCCCCCGGTTACCCCCCCCCTGTTCCTGGTCACCCCTTCCCCGGTAGTCCCTGCCCCTCCTCCTCCTCCTCCCCGTCCCGCCCCCTCTGGTGTGTCCCACGTCACCCCCCTTCCGTCCGTGGACCCGGTTGAGGAGTCTTCTGACTCTGGTGGCCCTCCTGTGCAGTCCTCGCCGGCCGCCCCTCCCCAGGTGTCCCCTCCCCAGTCCCCTCCTCCACCGCCACTACTGCTTCTGCAGCCGTCGTCGTCGCCGCCGCCGCCGTCGCCTCCGCCGCCGCCGCCGCCGCCGCCGCCGCCGCCGCAGCCCCCGTTCGCTGACTCTGGGGGTGCTCGTCCCGGTCGCCCTGGGGGTGGTCCCTCTAGGGGTGCTGGTGTGGAGAGTGCCGGTGGTCGCCGAGGAGCAGCTTGCGGTCCAGGTGTCGCCGTTGTGCCGCCGCAGCAGCGGTCCCCGCCGGTGTCCGCCCTTCGCCTGCTCGGCCTTCCGTCCCCCGACCCTGCGTCGGTTCCTCCCCGACCGTCTCCTCCTCTTCCTGTCTACGGCCCTGTTTTCCCTCCGCCGGACTCGTCCCCGGCTCGTCTCCCCCCTCGTTCCCCTCCTGTGTCCCCTCCCCTGTCTCCTGACCCGACTCCTCCGTCGCACGTCTGGTCTCACCGCCCCTCCCGTGCTCGTCCTGCCTCGCCTGTCTTGCGCTCCCACCCTATGTTGCTTCGTTCCCACGCGTCTCGTCCTCCCCTTCTCCCGTCGCCTCCTCCGTCCTCCCTTGTTGTTGCGCCCCCCCCGCTGTCCGACTACCTTCGTGCCGCTTGTCCTCTCGTTCCTCGGGTCCTTGCCTCTCTCGTTACCGACCCGTCTATTCCGGTCTCGTGCCTTGCCGCTCTTGTCGCTGCTGTCGCTGACTTCGCCTCTACCCGCCGCCTTGACTACGCCACCGCTCTGGTCTCTGACCCTGCCTGTCCTCCGTCTGTCGGGGGTCCTCCTGCCCTTGGCAGTGACGTCCTGGAGGACCGCCAGTTCGAGCTTGCTTTCCTCTCCGAGGCTGCTCCCCATCTCTGTTCCATGCTGCTAGTCCCTGAGGGTGACCCAGACGCTTTCGACATCCCGACCTCTCGCACTTACGCTGAGGCGACTTCGGGACCCTGGGCCTC